CATTAAACAACGAAAAAGCAAATTACTCTTTCAAAAAACTCTTCATGTGAGCTCTTTTAAATAGCTCCTATCTAAACACCCCAAATAGCTTTTTGAAATGGTTAAACAACTCTTTAACTTTGTTAAAAAAAAATTAAAAAAAAGCTCCTAATCAAACTCCTAGGAAGAAGTATTAACTTAGAGTCTGTTCTCTTACGTTGAAATTCAGTTCAGTTCAGTTCAGATCAGTTCAGTTCAGTTCAGTTCAGCTCCTAATTTCCTTCTCTTATAAAATATTCAGTTAAGTTAAGTTAAGTTCAGTTCAGTTCAAATCAGCTCAGCTCAGTTCAGTTTAGTTCAATGAGAACATGTCCTTAATTCAATAGAAAATTGAATAAAAATGGCAATTTAGCAATATTTTGCTCACTCGGTAAGAAAGTTAGTGAAACGCTAAACATCGCCCGCAATTTACCATATAAAGCCCACAAATATGATATGATTTGACCATTATGCCCTTTTTCTAAAATTGAAATAATCTCGGTGTTAAAAATGTGGAGCCGTACTGGCTCGCCGGGGGAGACCAGAGGGCAGGCCGGAGATGCGGGGGACGCCGAAGGTACGTCGTCGTCGACGGAAAACGAGGTAAGTCACCGTTAAAATTCATGGTTTACCGTCGGAGTGGCTCCTGCGCCTAGGGTGGACGCCCAAACCGTAGCCTGGACGTCCAAGCCAGACGCCAGAACCACCAGAGTGGCGTCCAGCCCAGACGCCCAGACCACCAGACTGGCGTCCTGGGCAGACGCCACTCCACTGGGTGAGGCGGCCCTGCCAGGCGCCAGTCCAGTGGCTGTGGCAGCCCTGGCAGACGCCACCTTTAATAATTAATTTTTTTTTTCTTTTTTGATTTTGTTGTTGTTTTTTATTTAATTTTTTTGTAAAAAAAAAAATCGAAAATGATTTTTTAAAAAAATTCGAAATGGGTTTTTTGTAAATTAAATTTGAAAATTCGAAATAGGTTTTTTTAAAATTAAATTTGAAAATTCGAAATGGTATATTTTTAAATTTAGTTTGAAAATTCGAATTGGGTTTTTATAAAAATTAAGTTTGATTATATATAATTATGTTTTTTTTTTGTGTTAATTCTGTGTAAATATAGAAATTAAATGTATTTTCCTTGTGCATCCTGATTGTGCTGATATGATCAAGTTTTGGCCATTTGTGATTTTGATCGACTCAACGTACAAGACAAACAAGTACAAGTTCCCTCTGGGATGGCTCCAACGAACCAGAACTTTCTGATTGGTCATGCAATCATCAGGGATGAGACGGCTCCAAGTTATTATTGGGTGTTGGAGAAGCTGAGAAACTACATCGGGCCTAATGTTCATCCAGCAGCCATCGTCAGCGACTGTGAGGGAGGTCTCTTTGCCCCCATAGCAGAGCTGTTTCCCGAATCGAACCACTTATTGTGCACATGGCACATCAACAACTGCGTGAAAGTGAAAGCCTACAACCTTTTCAAGAAGAATTTGGAAATGACAGAGAGATTGGTGAATGGTAAGTGGCGGAAGATCCTACAGGCTACCACAGAGGAAGCGTATGAGCGAGCATTGGATAACTTCAGGGATTCGTACCAGTGGTGTCCGACACTGGTGGACTATGTGATGCATCAATGGGTCCCTCACAGGGAAAAGTTTGTCAAATATTGGACAAACCAGGTACTTCATTTTGGGAACACTACAACATGTAGAGTTGAGAGCGCTCATAGAGCTACCAAGGGCTGGATTGATTCATCGACCGCTGCTTTGGATACACTGTTCGCTAGACTGAACAAGTCAATTGAAACTCAGAAGAACGACATCAGGAACTCTCTAGAGGACTCCAGACGACGACATGGTACGATGTATAGCCATTTTATATTTAAGATTCTCCAAGGTCGTGTGTCGCACTACTGCTTGGGGTTGATTCTCACTGAGCTGAACAGGGTGTGGGACTTGGCTGACGAAGTGTATACTCGGTGTGGGTGTACTATTTCAGTAACTCATGGATTACCTTGCGCATGCACCATTCACCGCGTTATTACAGAAGAAAGGGCGTTTCTTGGGTCGTCATACAGACATTTCATCCGACTAGACATGTCAACCGATTTTCCGGTGCCACCGATTATACCTCGGTGGTACAACATTCGCACAGCGAGCGTAGAGGGTTGGGATGCGCTATATAATGACCGGATCCACGAATGGAACACCCTAGCTGCATTTTACTTTTTCATGTTTACATTCTTTATTTGTAATCTTATTTGTACGTTGCTCTTTTAATGAGAACATTAATATTTTATATTGTATTGCTTACTGCATTCTATATGTTGCATGGGTAAGTTGCGCGTATCCACGAACGGTTATATCAAACTTTAAAAACAGCACTGATAATATGTTTAAGTTGGAAGCTAAAAGAACAATCTAAAATGTTACAATTTTACAACATAATGTCCAACATAATGCTCTATAAATAAAATACAATAACCATCAGTAATCCCTCCTCGACGACGACTCCCACTGCGCAAGGGTCTGTTCCAGACTATCAACAACAGCTCTCCCTGTTGCACTCATGCTGTCCTTCTCAAGAGAGAGTTTATGTACGTCCTGCATTATCTTTCTCATCCACTGCATACAACAAAAAACAGAAGATGAAATACAATAACAACAAATAAAACTTAATTAAAAGACAACGATAAATATAATAAAAGACATACCGCTTCCGTGGCAGTAGGCGGTGGCACATAATCATCATCGCTGTGGTCGAGATCAACGATCAACCTCGGGTGCGAATACCGGTTGAACCATTCCATGTAGTAATGGTCACACATGGGAGTAACCCTAGAGGGCGGCCGCTGCAACTCCGCAGTCCATAAGCGGGCCACCATCGGAAACTGGTCCCACGTCCCGGTCATGATATCCGGCCATTCCACGACGTAGTCCCTCGACGATGCAGGTCGGACCGCCTTCATCGGGCACGCCGGGGGAGGAGGGACAACTTGGACAAATCCAAGCTGGCGAAGACAACGCTGGGGCATGTACGCCTCGACGATGTCACGATACTGAATGAGTCCCATGTACAGGGTCCTGGGTACCCTAACACTAGGGTCCGGGCCGAAAGGCATCCAGTTCACCTGTACAATAACAACATATAAAATTTAATAACATGAATATAATATGTGCAAATAATAAAATGTAGACTCTATAAATAAACGTTACCTCTAAGGGGGACAGCCTGTCCAGCAATAACCGTATCGATCGGAGGCGGTCAACGAACTTCTTCTCCGAGCGCGGACTCCACGCACAAGCACGCGGCATCCCCTCATCAATAGGAACTGGGTCACGATGTGGTCGCAATGCAGGAAAGTACTCGTATATCCAGGTCTGCAATAGAGTCAGACACCCAGTGATACCTGCCGCGTCAGCCCGACTCGCAAATCCTAGTTGGCGATACAAATACGCCAACGTAGCCGATCCCCAGGAAAACTGGCCTACACTGTCGGGGTCACACGCCTCTACGATGTCGCGTGGCCTGAGCTTGTTTCCGCCGCTCTTATCCGGAAACAAGGTACATCCGAGGAGTAGAAAAACATAAGCACTCAGCTGTGCGTCGGGCGTCCTACGTGCACTCGGGTACAAACACCGCTGCAACACGGATGCGATCTTCACACCTCCGTGTTCCCAAACACCTAGCGCCTCGGTGTACAGTGCAGCCCTGTCCACCGCCAACAACTCCGCTAGCGAATCTGCCTGGTCTTTTCCCGGGTATGACATTTCAACAACCCCGTAACTGAAGGCCTCTCCTGGTCCTCCCAAATACGGGCAGCTATGTGTCCTAGAAAGCTAGGAATCACACTCCCGTCAACAGGCCCAGCGGGCACCTCACTCCTAACAACCCAAGAATCATTACCGGCCCTCGACCGTTTCCTGCTTGCCCCAGATACAGTGGACGCAGATGATGTGCCAGATCTACTAACAAACCTACCACCCCTACCCTTACGCACCTCCACCATATGCGTCTCGTACATGTCATCAACCCTCTGACTGAATGGACCGTAATCATCATACGGTCCACTGCCATCGTCCACATCCTCATCCTCATCTGCGCCCTCCTCCTGCTCCTCCTCCTGGTCACCCTCCTCAGCATCATCATCGTCATCGTCATCCTCATCCCGACGGTGGATCCGTTCTCTACGAATTGAGGCCGAAATACCACGGGATCTGACATGTCTATGCCCCGACCTCTCCACTGAATAACTTCTACTAAGAAGCTCTATATTCTTCCCCGCACCATGACGACCCAGTGAATTCTACACAAAATTTTAAAATATATAAACATACAAAAATTTATACGATAAATAATCATCATCGCAAATCAAATAAACTAAAAACATACAAATAATTGTAAACAAAATATAAACGTAGAAAAAATACAACGAAATTGAAAAAATTTATAAAAATAAACAACAAAATATAAAAACAATTCAAAATTATATTACACAAAAAAAAAAAAAAAATTAAAAACAATTTTTTAAAAAAAAAAAAAAAAAAATGGGGGGGGGGGGCGCCCTGGCTGGACGCCCAGCCAGCGGTGGTGGCGCCAGCTGCAGACGCCGCCACCAGTTGGCTGGCGCCTGGGCTGGACGCCATAGCCACGGCTGCGGCGCCTTGAATAAACGCCACAACCGTGGCTGTGGCGTCCAGCCCAGGCGCCAGCCAACTGGTGGCGGCGTCTGCAGCTGGCGCCACCACCGCTGGCTGGGCGTCCAGCCAGGGCGCCCCACCGCGGTCACGGCGGTTTTTTCCTTTTTTTTTTTTTTTTAAACAAAATGTACCTTTCCTCCTTGGGACATCCTTCCCTCCGCCGCCGCCGCCAATTCCTTGCCTTGTCGCCTCGACATTGCCGTTATTTGAATTTTTTTTTTTAGAGAGGTTGAAAGAAGATGAGCAATGAGAGTGTGAGTGTTTTTTTTTAAGGTCAAGGGCAATTTTGGCAAACCAAGTGAATTTTGTGGGCTTTATGTAGTAATTTGTGGGCGATGTTTAACAAATCCCTATTGCAAATTTAAGAGATTTTGGATTCAACTCATACCAAATGAGGTTGCTTAAATGCTTCAAAAAAATAAAAATAAAAAAATGAGGTTGCTTAATTAGTTAATTGTAGTGAACTCCCTCTAATAATAACCGGTTCGGTCAAAACCCTTATTATAATTTACAACGAGCTGAACTAATTTACTAGCTCGATAGAAGAGACCACCAAAAGAAGCGCAGGTGTCTTTTTCCAGTTCTGCTCAACTCCCGTCAACAAAATCTGAAATATTGTAATTTTCTCTTTTGATTCTCAAGCTGTGGTACGTTTACTCTAATCTTTGTTGCTTATACTTCAACATATATTCCTAATTTTACTGCGAATTTCTAGTACAAACTTTTCAAATTCTAAGCTGTTTTTCTACCTTCAGTTTCTCTTTTTATTTATTTTATTTTTTAATTTATTTTTGGTGGGTGTCGGATATATATGTCTGTAAGTTGGTATTAGATCTCAATACATTGTGATATTGATGGGTGTTAAACATTATGAAGTAATTATTTGTTGTTATTTCATTGGGCACAATTGAAGCTTCAAGCTATCTGTTAATCTTGGAATTTGGGTATTTTTTATTGAAATTGCGGATTTACCTTAGTGTAGTAAAGAACAACTTTGAATTAAAGAGTTGGAGTTTGATGCTCTCTATTGTAGTTCCAAACAACCATTGTACTTTTGATTGGGTTTGCGGTTTTGCAGATTTTTCTGGGAGTTTGCTGCTCAATGTTATGGTGTTCATGGTAGTTCAGAACAGCTAGTCTTTGCTAGATTGGGTTTGCGGATTTAAAGCTCTCTATATATCGTGCTATCTGTTGTAGTGGGGATAGCTAGCTAAGTAGCTAGTGTACATTTGATTGGGTTTGCGGATTTGTGGGTTTGATGCTCTCTACTTATTGTGCTATCTATTGTAGTCCAGGATAGCTATTGCATGTTTGATTGGGCTTGCGGGTTTTTTGGAGTTTGATGTTCACTATTGTGCGCTCTATGGTAGTTCAGAACTGTTAGTGTACTTTTGATTGGGTTTGCGGGTTTTTGGGAGTTTGATTCTTGCTCTATCGTAGTTCAGAACTGTTAGTGTACTTTTGATTGGGTTTGTGGCTTTGCAAATTTTTTGGGAGTTTGATGGGATGTCTTCCAATATTAGTGATAGTTGAGTGAATTATCTGTTGGGGATGAAGAAGTGGTCTGGGGGCACCCTTATTTTAGTTTTGTCTTTCGTTCTGGTGGTGAGGTATACCTACTTTGGCAATCAACCACCAAAGCCAATTAAACAATCAGCTTATGACTTCTTTAGAAACCATCCTAGTAATGATTCACAAGCGCAGGAAATCAGTTCGAATTCGAAATCTTCTGAGATCAATGTGACAAAAGTAGAAAAGATTAAAGAGAAGCCACATCTAATTGATGTTGAAGGGCTTAGTGACTTGTATAGTACTGTAAATGCATCGAAAGAAGATATGAAAAGCTTTGCAACATGGCCTCAGTTGCGTGCTGTGTTGTTAAGGTCAGATGGGTTGCCTGAAACAAGTAAGGGCGTAAAAGAAGCTTCTGTTGCTTGGAGAGAGTTAATTTCAATAATCAAGTGGGAGAAAAGTAAATCTGCTGGTGATGTCGACAATGTTAACAGAACCAATGAAATAAAATGTCCTTTTAGTGTTGGCACTTTTGATGAGCCTTTGAATAGTAGCAGGAGACTTCTTGAGCTCCCGTGTGGTCTTATTGAAGATTCTTCTGTTACTTTGATTGGTATTCCCAACGGGCGGAATAGAAGTTTCCAAATTGAGCTTGAGGGTGCGGGGTTTCCACATGAACAAATGCCTCCTATCATCTTGCATTACAATGTCTACCTTCCAGAAGAAAACAGTACAAATTATTCTGTAATAGTTCAAAATACATGGACTAATGAAGTTGGCTGGGGCAAGGAAGAAAGATGTCCTGGAGGAAGGTCAACAAACTATATGCAAGGTGAATTTCGTCTCATGTGTGAATATGTAGAACAATTGAACTGCTGCTAATTGCATCCATAAATATAATAATCTAATGTTGAGATGCTTTGGATTAGTCCCTCACTATCTTTTTTGTATTATGGAGATTATACACAATCAATTAGGACAGTATAAATCATATCCTCATGTCTTGCAGTCCTGCACAGACTATTCATCTGTCAGAGAGTACAATGAACCACTTAATAGTTCAGAAACATTTCCTTTGACTATATAGGAACCCCTTTCCCACTCTCTGTCTTTTGGATGATAAAGAAAGACTAACTATATTGTAATTGTAGTTGATGGACTGGCTAGTTGCTATGAGCAACTTATTAGAAGCGCTATGGAAGAAAATCAAAATAAGAGTCTTCCTGTTGGTGACAAGAAGATTAACAATTCCGTGGCTCATGCTCATATCAGAGCTAATTTCCCATTTAGTGAAGGGAGTCCATTCACTGCCACATTGTGGGCTGGTTTGGAAGGATTTCACATGGCTGTCAATGGAAGGCATGAAACTGCCTTCAAATATAAAGAGGTGAGATCATAATCATAATAAGCATATAATGAGCTTTTGGTAACTTTAAAATTTAGATGACATATATACACTCTGAATTATTGTGACCAGCTCACGAAGATAAAAAAATAAAATAAAAACACAACATAATATTTCTGGACAATTTAATAGTGACGGCTGTTTCTTCTTTCTTTATGGTTGCAGAACTTGGAGCCGTGGCTGGTTAGTAAAGTCAAAGTGACTGGAGGTGTGAGCATCTTGTCTGGCATAGCCAAAGGTCTTCCTGTATCAGAAGATCTTGATATAGTTTTTGACGCTGGTCAACTCAAAGCCCCATCATTGCTTAAAAGAAGAGTTGTGTTACTTGTTGGAGTTTTCTCAACTGGAAACAACTTTGAACGCAGAATGGCCTTAAGGAGGTCTTGGATGCAATATGAAGCTGTTCGCTCGGGGATTGTAGCTGTACGCTTTCTTATTGGTTTTGTAAGTAATGCTATTATTCTGAAGTATCTTTTTAAGCAATAAACTTATAGCTGATCCGGATGAAAAGTGTATTTATTGCTGCTAGTATATAATAGGTACTTATAGCTGATCCGGATGAAAAGTGTATCTAATGCTGCTAGTAAATAATAGGTAGCTATGCTTTAGAGATTTACACCCCTTTTACCACTTATTTTAAAGCTATGCTACTGTTCATGAGCAACTATATGATCTTTTCATCTACTTTATGCAGCACAAGAATGCAGAGGTAAATCTTGACCTGTGGAAAGAGGCTCAAGCATATGGAGACATTCAGCTGATGCCTTTTGTTGACTATTACAGTTTGATCAGCTTGAAAACAATCGCGGTTTGCATACTTGGGGTAGGTGGCTGCTAATGCATTTTATTAACCAAGATATTCTTCAGTGAACAATGTTTAGAGACTATCTTTATTAGCTTTATAACTCATGCAGCTACTGTTCACTTCTACCTGCTTAGATTATGCTCCAATCAAATATTGCCTTATTTTAGGATGTGTCTTTACCTTATCTGAACATCTGTGAATTTATTAGTCTTTACTTGACTTATCTGAAGTTATCTATTGGCCATGAACTTGAATTTCCCAAGCTTGTTAAAACTTGTAGTATTTGTGAATTTTGCTTGTGTTGGTCTTGAATTTTGAGTAGTTTGTGCTTATGAACCCTAAACCTAACACATCAAAATATATTAGCCCTTATATAAACTTATTGGTAACATCTCGCTGAGTGGGTTTTGCAGAATTTGTTTGCTTTTACCATCTCGCTGTATGTCAGTGTTTAGTTTCTAAGCTTCAACCCCTAATCAGTCCAATATTTCCCAATATTTAAGAAAAAGCAAATGAAAGATGAAACTTGTATTAGTACTTAGCAAAATGTTCATGTATGAAATTGGGAATTCAGTACCGGGGCAGCAGAGATAATAACGGAGATAGGCTCCAGCAGTTTATGTTTATTTGGATGTTCACTCAGTGAAACGGTAAAATAATGAGAGGCAGTGAACAAAGAGGGTAAGTTGTACTCTGGTAGTATCAGTCAAAAAGGATAAACACAAAGAGTCAAAGATTGTACAAGATTAGATTGTACAAGATTATAATATATGGTAATATTTTAAAGGGGTGAATAAAATTTGATAGATGACTTGCATGCATGACCTTCTTTTTTTCCAAAGAGATTATTATGGTATAGTAGGGATGTGAGAAATTTCAAATGGTGAAGTATTGTTAGGGTTATAGCTAAAATTCTTAAAAATAACTGCAAATCCAATGTACCTGATGCCTAATACTTTTGGGACAGTGGGAGTATTTCATGGGGTTTGTCTTCCTGATTCTGCAAAAAAAGCATCCAAGCAAGTGCTATCTTAATTATAAATTATAAATTATGGTTGACTTGCTTTTGACAATAGATGCAACTGGCAAGTAATGACTTCCAACCTTGTGCACGAGAAAAAGAAAAGAACAAGTTTTCATTTTTCTGTTATAGTGAGAAAAAGAAGAGTTGCAATGTAACTGTAACAAAGGATTTATTACATTTAGATTAATTCAGAAGAGTATCTATTTACATTTTTCTCTAAATTGCAGACCAAAATTATCCCAGCTAAATATATAATGAAGATCGATGATGATGCTTTTGTGAGAATTGATGTAGTGCTTTCAAATCTTAAGGAGAAGTCTGCTAGTGGTCTCCTGTATGGTCTCATATCATTTCAGTCATCTCCCCACAGGGACCAAGATAGCAAATGGTTTGTTAGCGAAGAGGTATCATTTATTGTCCTTTAATGTTCATTAAATTTTATCTGAAGTGTGACATTTATGCATTACCTCAAGTCCTTTACCAAGCTCCTGCTTTGTAGGAATGGCCAAAAGATTCATTTCCTCCATGGGCTCACGGTCCAGGCTATATAATTTCCCGTGACATTGCCAAATATATCGTGCGCAGTCATCAGGAAAGAGATCTTAAGGTAACTGGTTATTTGAGATTTTTTTCCCCCTTTTATTTACATGAAGTGACATGGAGCTTATAAACTAAACAAGGAAATGGGATGTATAAACTAAACAGTATGGATAGAATTGTTTAAGAATACAAGAAGTAAGGATAGAATTGTTTAAGAATACAAAAAGGTTTCCTTTTGTGTCTCAAATGATTATTCCTGTCGTAGTTTAATATTCTTATGACAGTCATCATAATATAAAAAGTAAAGACTTGGCAATGTAGATAGATTTCCATTAAAACATTAGGGGAGTTTATAAATGGTTGTCTATCAAAAGCCATTATGGAAAGGCGATGTAACCCTTTAGAATTAATGTGTGCCCTTGCTGTTTAGCTGGCCTAGCTTTTCTTCAGTTTTTGCATTGATGGAGATTTCTCCTGTGCTAATTGCACTCATTTTAATGCATATTACTATATTAGTGATATGTTGTTTTTCACTGGATTAAACCTTCTTTTTTCTACAAGACCATGAACTGCACAAGGGCTAAGGCATATCTTCTAATACCATTTTATTTGGATTTGAAATTTTTTAAAGTAATTCTTGATTTGATACCTTGACATCACTTTATATCCTGGTACCCTTAACTTTTAAATATATTCATTTCTTTCCCGACATGTTGGAAAAACTTTTTTTAAACCTGTACTTTCATGTAATACCTCCATTTTTTTGTATTCTATTCAGTTTCATCACTTCATGTGTTGATTAAGAAAATATTGGAAAACATGAGTGTTTGTAAGAAAAATGTTGTTTAAGTAAGAGAGAGAGAGTAAAAGGTCGGTGAGTATAAGAAAAAAGATAGATAAAGTAAGAGAGATTTTATTTATTACTCTGCATGTTTCTTTTTAATTTAACCATTTCCACTTTTCGTGCTTGCAAGTGCGAAACTTCGATTATATTATTAATTTTCTATAAGTAAAAATTATAAGATGTTGATATTTCGAAACCATACATTGAGATGAATCTAATAATGTCTCATATGATTGTTTTTCACCATATGTAAATCACGAATATAGTCAAAGTGGGAAATGTAAATAGTGTAAAATGTCAAAATGGGTTAAAAAATAAAACCGAGGGACTATAACTAGTTTTTTTTTTTCTTTTTCTTATCTACTTTTAAATTCAAATGAACATAAACTTATGTTAAACATTTATTTATCAAAGATCCTATTAAATTTGTTTTTAATGCTTATGTTTGATACTCTGATGATTATGTACTAATGTGTTTTCTTGATCAACAGATGAATAAAAATCAAGTATAAATAGTGCATAAAGTGAATATTTATCTTTTGTATCAATACTTTTCACTTTAATGTAGTTTTGCTTACTTTTGAGGGACGAAGTTGGATCTCATTTTGAACTTAATTCTAATTGGAACTTTGTTCTAATATGTGTGTGTACACGTATATATAGTTCATAAATAAAAAGACACCTTGGGAGTGTGTGTGTGTGTGTTTTTTTTTTTCCTCCAAGCAATACAATGGCCATTAAAAAAGGACCCTGAAACCTTGATGCATTAGCCTGCTTTGATATTCTTTTTAACTCCCATTTCAGCTTTTTAAATTAGAGGATGTTGCTATGGGCATTTGGATTGAGAAATACAAGGACAGTGGCCATGAAGTTAAATACATCAGTGATGATCGTTTTCACCATACTGGATGTGATGCTGATTACATCCTTGCACATTATCAAAACCCAAGGAAGGTGCTGTGCTTATGGGAGAAGTTGCAAAAGGAGCACCAGGCTGTCTGTTGTGAATAAGTACTGCACCAAGAACTTGCTTTCTTATATCCGCATTTTTGAAAAGTTTTGACTTTTAAGATCATGTATGCTGCTAGAAAACTGCACCTTTTGTATGATATATCTGTAATTCTTTTATTTTAAAAATTTTAATTTAGTTCATTTTTGTTTGGTGCAAGATGCAGTACGAAAATTGTTGGACTCAAACTTGATATCTTTGTTACAACCTGCAACGACTTTCTAATTGACTTCAATGGAGTTGTCTGCAAATGTAAGAACCAGTGCACATTATACACATGTAGATATACTGTATTTTCTCTTGTTAACAATTTATTGCAGAATTCTGTTTCTTTCGTCTTGATATATCTGGTTCAATTCTTCCCGTTTAGACATTTGTGTATGGAGTTTTTTTAATTTTTTTTATTGGTCTCTTGCACTGATAGACAAGCAGGGGCGGATTATTGTTCAGGCTGAATAGGGCTTGGCTCCTAATAAATTTTGAAGAAAAAATTATACTTGTAGTCTAGTATTTTGTTTAAAGGCCCATTATAAAAAGGGTAATGCTATATACAACATTAAGGGCTGCATATAAGCATTTAACATACTTCCTTTTTTAGTGTTAAGTTGGGAATTTATCAACAATTCACTAGCAAATCGGTGTAATAAATGTTTATTTATTGTCTATTTTTTTTTTCATTTTTAGCTTTTTATATGCAGCCCTATATATCTTTTTCCTAAAAAAAAAAAATGATTGTTTTCCTAATTTGCCTTAGAGCGTAGAAAAGCTACTTAAATATATAGAGAGTAATAGAGCATTTGTCTCCCAAAAAGTACTGACAACTCAATCCAAGAATAGGTGAACAATATCACTACTCGGTAAATCAAGTATCCATCCTCTATTCGAAATTTCTGTGTAATCTTCAATTTTTTTTTTATTTTTTTTTTTAAGTTTTTCATTTTCAATTTTTTAAATTAAATTTCTATGTTATATTAATTAGTTTGAGCACTAGAAAAACAAATTTGTTGTGAAATAATGGGGAAAGATGAGAAATTGAGAGAGAATTAATCTGTGTATATTATTCCATATGATAAGGTATATATATACATACAATATATTAGGGTTTAATTGGATAAGAATATAAACCCTAGATTGTTCCGGAATAATGGATATCCACAAATATTTCATAACACTCCCCCTTGGATGTCCATTATCGAAGACTGTGCCTCATTAAAACCTTATTAGGAAAACCCTGTGGGATAAAAACCTAATGAAGGAAAAAGAGTACAACATTCTTCGTAATACGCTCGAAATGCTGCCTCGTTAAAAACCTTACCAGGAAAAACCCAATATGGGACAAAAACCATGGTTAAGGGAAAAAGAGCGCAGCGCGTAATTTCTCCCCCTGATGAATACATAGCTTGAGGTCTTGTAATGCAATGAATCCAATATAGTTGAGTGTCCTCACACATGACGCAGAATATTATCATTCCTTGATTTTAATTTCGAGTCTTCCAAATCTTCAAAAAATTTTTACTCAAACAAGTGAGTCTTCATATCACCAAACCTATAACCATAATACATGTGTTTGTCCACATTTCATTCAAAATCTCTGTTCAAAGTTGCCTTAACTATTATACTTATGCCTTCTTCCAGAGGTCGTGAATAATCGAAATTGATGATCATTATAATTTGATTAAACATTCCTTAATAATAATATGGTAACCCATGATATTATTAATGTTGATTTTCCAATCTTGTATGAAATAATAATATAGCACATGTAATTATATACATTGATCATGGTTCTTCTGGACCATGATAAAACAGTATCACACATAAGTACCTTATTGATTCTTTAGAATATTTATAATTAACACGATAGTTCTCTTTCATATACAAATAGTAATTCTCATTACTAACACTTATATGCTCAAGCTTCAGGTTGAGATGTCAATGATTTAGTCACATAGACTTTTCAAGGGCTGGATATTTAAATTCGTCGTATATAAGTTCTTCAGGAACTCTTTTTACATGATTCATAACGTGCAATTAAATAAGTGTCATCAATAATTTCATTACAATTATAAGCCCATTGGAATATAAATATCTCTTTCTAATTTTTCATTAAAGTTGTAAATATGTCTTACTATACTTTGAATGAACATTCATATACACCACAACCATTGTAAGAAATTAATCCACGCAATATGAGATATATAAAACATGATAACTATTAAACAAATTATACAATGAGTAATGCATATAACAACTTCGAACATACGCAATGAATAATCTAATAACCTATGACTCACACATGCATATGAACATACATAGGACTCGAAATAATGTAAGACACTGTACAGTGTGGATTTAAAAATCCATATTTTATTGGATTTCGGGTCCATGATAAACTTATGATCATTATCATTATGTCGACATCAAAATGTACATATATTTCAGATCCCTTACTCATTAGTCCATTCTATTATGCGTATGCATATTATTCATCGGTTCCATTATGTGCCGGTATCATAAAATTCCTTTAATTTACATTCCGCATGCTATTTTACTATGATATCTGAATACATTTCTCATTTGGTACCATCACAACTTTTCTTACATAATAGGCCATCTATTATAATAATTCAGATATTTATACCACTTTTAGGGTATTTCATACACTATGGTATATACTATTATACTATTAGTGTCAACTGCACTATCTTGCCAAATATCATATCTATTAAACATATCTTTATTTTGTTGGAACCGATCGTATACAACCTACACTTCAGGTGTAGTGATTCAAGTACAATTGGCAAGATTTTATCTCAATGTATACACATAATTAATATGACCAAAATGTATCTTCAACGCTATGCAACATGAGTCATAACTGAATACAAATCAAATCATAAATGTGCAACATATCTTGATAGCATATGGATGAAAGTTGGCTAGAAAACATTTCAAATTACCATTATTTATATAGGGATCATCAGTTTTTTTTTTTTTTTTTAAATTTTTTTTTTGCCAACTTACTCCAATTCTCCCCCTAAGTTGGTAAAATATCTCATATGTAGGGGCATCACAGTTCTTCACCAACTTAGTATACAAAGTTCCAATAAAATTCATTTCATTAGGAGGATCACAATCAAAATTTATTTCTCAGAAGATTTGTATTTAACAAGTTTCATCTCTTCTGGAGAACAACTTCAATGAAGAATCATTTCTTCGTTAATTTTACATTACAGGTGTATTTATTATATATTACCTTTTTCATAATATCTTCTGGAAAACAATGTCAATGGGGAGACATGTGTTGTGCAGTTGTACTTTTTCCATTATTTTCCAATTTCTTATGTGCTGACATATAATAGCCCCAATCAAAAGAATTGTTATACAAGCATAGATCACTTGCTTGTAATTCTACTAGGTGGTGATCTTCTGGATCTTTAAAGCCTTAAATAATGTATTTGGTGATCTTCTGGATCTTTAAAGCCTTAAATAATGTATTTGGTGAGCTTTTAGTTCTCTGATAATTTACAATAATATATACGATATTTTGGTGAACTTCTGGTCACCTATTACTCTTTTATAAAAAAAATCAAAACTTATTAACCCTTGAAATTTTCATATATACAAATTAATATGAATCAGAATCCAAATATAGCTCAATCTCAATTTTATGTCTTGCCATTCAATTCATTTCATATATTTGTCATTGAGAGAGCGTCAGCACATTATCAAACGAAATTTCAGGTTTCCATAACGGATAATTTTTAAACCCTGATGGCCTAATTTAATTATCACATCCAATCACTTCTCTAAATTTGAACTCTGGCCAGTTTTCCAACACTAGTGATCATTTTATCAATTTTACTTCATGCATGACTATGAATGTGATGTAATATTAGAACACCAACATGTGTTTCTTTATACAATTAGCAAGACAATCAACTAATCTCACATATCGATTTTACTAAAAATAATTTTATTCTAGAAATGTAAAGGGATTTATCTTTTCCTCAAATTTGTCATTGTCAATAGTTGCTCCATTCCTTTTCTGAAGGTTCTTATTTATTTATTTATTTATTTTTAATCTATTGGACTACAATGCTTCAGACGTGCTTTAGGTTTCATTATTAACTGATGTTGTCCTTCTGGGACAATAATTTTAATTGGAGCATTTACAACCAGTAATGATCAATGACATTCATTTATTTACATCCATTTTCAGGATGGTGTGGTCGCTTTTATTAAATAAATTATTGACATTGATATTAAAGCAAATGTATGCAATACTGACCATCAATATATCATACAATTCATGTGCAAGGATTATATATAATAACGAAATGAATAATATCTCCCCCTAATCCTTGCATATGGGGATATGAAATAAATCTTAATTATCCAACAACCTTGAAATCCCTTGCACTCAAACCATAAATCCTTTTGGTAATGTCATGTATCAAGCAAAGAAAAATATTCTTATAAAACTCTTACTTGTTTCTCCTGCCCAATTATATTCATCTTTATGTTGAAAATTCGGTAAACTATGGGCATAAAACATTCTTCAAGTAATTTGCTCAAAATAGCATGTTTAATTAATTTCTTGAACTCATAACACTATTATTTGCTCAAATAATTATGAACTTTATCATGAATTTTATATATATATATATATAAAATATATACTTGTTAATTCTTCAATAATCAAGAGATTTCATGACATATATAGGAACACATTAGTTTTGTGAACGGAGAATAATCCAGTCAACATAATTTCAAAACCATTAGACATTTCTAGATTGTTCCAGAAGGTTTCTAACCCATATGTATATAGTTATTATTAGATCTATTTTTCATAATTTGTTCTCTTCAGGAGATCAATAACTCAACATCAATGGGGAGACATATAGTTGATGCACTTAAATAAGTATTAGAAGAATCAAAGGAACTGTAAATCAACAAGTACTACAAACAAATAAGCTATCATAGAACACACTCACCAAGGTGAGTTACTAACTTTTAATTATAATCATACGGTCAAACCCATAATCAAATTATCAAACCCCACATAACATAACAAAACAATGCGGAGTACGTCATAAATATATACGAAGTAACATGTATTAAAAGGCCATAATAAGTACTTGTATATTTTGTGAAAATAAAATTCAATATAATAAATGAAATAAGGAACTTCCCTGTTAAACATAATGACTTCATGATACCTCCTGTCAAAACTCAACCAACACCGCTAATACACTAATCGCATACTAGATTTTAATCGGCTTTTCTTAGCTTAATTTTAACAGTAATTTGATTGGTGCTTAGAGCTTTGGTGATCCATAATTAATAAACAATTCATTACAAAATCATATAATACGTAAAAAGATTCATGCTATTGAAATATTTTGCAAATCAAATCAAACGATATATAACTTCACATAATTGTATCCATGATGCTAAACATGTGATAATAGTATAATACTCATTTAAAACGGACCTGATTCTCATAATAGATTAACACAATTCAATCGGGTACATAAAAGAAATTTATCAAATCACTTAGATTATATGTTCAAGAATAATTTTACTCTAATCGGAAATAATTTGTCGTGGTGCAATTAACGAGGAAAATCAAACAAGTACTTTACTCCATCAAAAAATATATATAATATTCCCATCATAAATCAATAATCAATAATATATACTAAAAGACACACCAGCAATGACACGTGTCATCGACCGATGTGTCCTAAAAAATATATTACGAATATTTTTATTTATTTCTTTAGATCTTCTTTTAAATAAAGTTTAAATGAGGAAAAAAAATTATAAAAAAGGTAAGTAACTTTAATTGTAGAAAATTAGTTATCATCTAGAATTTTAATTATAGAAAGAATAAATAAACAATAATTTTTTAGGAAAAAAAAATATCATATAGATTATCAACATAAGATTTTTATTACTTATTTTTGTTAAGAAACTTATCTTGATAATCAATATCTATGTAAAAATATCAATAAATAAATGTATAACTTATTGATTGATAACTATTTATTATATAATGTATATATAGTACCAAAATATAATTTCAAATACATTGATATTTGAATTAGAGTTGATAGTAGGAGAAAAGTTGAATAAGAAATAAGATGTTATTGGAATAATGATTTGAATAATATTATTTTAGGTTGGATGATTTTGAATGAAATAATAGGGTGATCTTACTTGTGTGCAAAAAGAAAATTTATTCACAGGGTTAGTACATAGCTCTAATTGATTTTTTCATGAATATGTTTCATTTTAATAAATATTTCGATAATTTAGTTCATACTTTTTGTTGACAATAATACTGAAATTAACCGTGCATGGCACGGGACCTAATCTAGTTATGAATGAAGTCTTAACCAAAACCACCATTATTAGGGGATAATAGAGTGATGAGAATTTGTCTTAAAAGCACTATAGATAATACTCTACAACATACTACATATATATAACAAGTCAAACAATATTAAACCAATTAGTGTCATGCCAAACTTGTTTCACTGATATAGGTATATTATTCGACAGTTTATGTGGCAAGCATTTAGGAGTACTAATTTAATTTCGACATTGCAAAACAAAACAACGAATAAAATACTAAACTTTCGTAACATAATTAACATATACAGTATATACAATATGGTTACGAAAATAATAAGTAGATGAAAAACTTTTTCTGTTTTTTCTTCTTGAAAACTTTACTGTAACATGGACGCTGCTACTGCACTTGCTGTTGCTCAGACGCTGTTTGCGACGTTACAGTGTGCAGAAGTGCGAAAGCTATGCTCCATCATTAAATATGAATCTGAACTTGAAAAGCTGATTGAAACTGTCGATACCATCAAGAGTGCTCTCCGGGATGCTGACTCCAAGTGTCAGGAACTCACATATGGAGGCCAAAACTGGGTCAAGAACCTCAAGGATGCTGTCTACGAAGCTGATGATCTGTTGGATGAATTCAACACTGTTGCTCACCAGTTAGAAAAAACGCCCGGTGGTAAGGTTATGAAGAAGGTACGCCGTTTCTTCTCTTCTAATAACCAATTGAAATTTGCTATCAATATGTCAAAAGAGATTGAGACTCTTAGGGAGAAGATGGATGGCTTGGCTAAAAACCGTAGGGATTTTGGGTTTAGTGAGCTTTATAAGCCTGTGAAAAGGAGAGAGGAAACCTGCTCTTATGTGTACGAGCAGGATATTATTGGGAGAGATATAGACAAGGAGGCTATTGTAGATTTGTTGTTAAAAGATGACTTGGAGGATAACATATCTTTTGTGACTGTTGTGGGTATTGGGGGGTTGGGTAAAACTGCTCTTGCCCAACTTGTGTTTAGTGATAATAGAATTAAAGAAGTATTCAAAGATGACATGTACTGGGTTTGTGTGTCTGAAAATTTTGATACAAAAGATATTTTAGGTAAAATGCTTGAGATGAATGAGCTAGGATTTGAGGGCCTGCACAAAGAAGTTCGAAATAAGATAGGAGGGAAAAGATTTTTGCTTGTTTTAGATGATGTATGGTATGAGAACGGTAGAAAATGGGATGAGTTGAAAAACTTCTTGATTTTAGGTGGAAGGGGAAGTAGGATTTTGGTGACTAGCCGCTCCAGAAAGGTTGCAGGAGCTATTGGAAACTATCCAATTCATGAGTTACCAGGTTTATCCGTAGAGGATTCTTGGGCATTGTTCAAGAAGATATCACTTGGTCAGAAGGAAGACGAAGCAACCACTGGCCTTGTCGAGATAGGAAGAGATATTGTGATAAAATGTGCCAATGTGCCTCTCTCCATAAGGGTGGTGGCCAGTTAACTGAATGTATGTTTGTAAAACTTGAGTCTTTGAAGTTATGGTATAAACTTGAGTCTAATCACAAACAAAGTCAAGAAACATTTCTCAATAGCCTGCTATTTGTCCACCAATTTCAATTTCAGAAGATGAGTGTGAAGAAGTACGGCGGTACCAAATTGCCAGGTTGGGCGTCAGGGCTTGTGAGTATTGACTTGACACGATGTAAAGAGCTGAAATATCTGCCATCATCACTGAGTCAACTTTGCCTTCTCAAAACCCTTCACCTTGAGAGTCTGGAAAATGTTGAGTACATAGAGAGCTATGCACCATCTCCATCAGCTTTATTCTTCCCGTCTCTTGAGAATTTAGAGCTCGTTAGAATGCAAAAATTAAAAGGATGGTGGAGAGATGTTACAGGGATGGAGAAGGAAGCTGTTTTCATTCCGTCATTTCCTCGTCTCTGTGAATTGAATATTAGACGTTGCGAGAGATTGACGTACATTCCTCCATGTCCACTTGTAAAAAAAATGCATCTTTACAATGAATCACTGACAAATTTTATGCGACTAGGTAGAGTTCACAGCAATCCAATGTCTCATGCGTTTTCAATTCCCTATGTAAGGAGTTTGTTAGAAGTGCTTTTTGTATAAAATTTAATGAGATAGATAATTTGGGAACAATTATGGAGAGATTACAAAGTTTCGCCTCTTCTCTTCAAGACCTCGAAATAAGGTATTGCTGGGGATTGGAGAATCTGGAAATAGAGCATCTCACCAACCTAAAATCCCTTACATTAGATGGCAATTCACAAGGGATTCCCTGGAAATCTCTTCACTCTCTTTCTTCCTTGAGATTAAGTAATTTCAATGATGTAATACTGCCAAAAGGGGATCCAATACTTGACATCCCTTCAATCCCTCAAGCTTGATGGATGCTACAAACTGAAATCATTGCCAGAAGAAATGCGCTGCCTCACCTCCCTCACTACATTTGGAATGAAGTTTTCCAACACTGAGCTCCGCTTCAGATGCCAAAATTCAAAGGGGGGAAGACTGGCCCAAAATATGCCACATTCCTAATCTTGAAATTGCAGATTATTGAAGTCAACCATCATCATCAACATAGTTACACAGCAATCATCATCAAAGAGTTTAAGGTAACGTAACATATCATCTTTGTTAATCAATTTACTACTTGAAATAGCGGTTTCCCTATACAATGGTATTTTTCCCAACATAGTGGTAAAAAATGGTTAAAATGGTTTTACAGTTTTACTAGTAAAAGAGCCATTTCTCATTCAGCTGATGGTTATGGATCAGTGAAGTGGTTTCTCATTCAACTAATGAATTAATTGCATTATCGAGGGAAAGGGCTCAGGTATTTGTGTTTTTTAAAAGACAAAAAAGTAAGAGTGATGCTCAATTGCTCATTGTTGACAGGGTAATAGCACATTTCTACTCCTAGTCAATCTGAAATGGAGCTTCTTTATGGATGCCATAGCAGCTTCCCAAAACTGTGTTAATCATAACACCTATGTATGCTTTGTATCGTCTTTAACAAAGCTATTGACTCATTGAGCGATTACAGTTTTGTGGTTGGGGCTGGCTAGTAACAGCTGACATGGGGTAAGTCAGTCCTTTAGTTGGGATATTTTCACAAGTAATAAACAGACATTGTGGATATTGTACTTCTATCTCAAACAAATTTTTTTCCTTATGGTCTTCTGAACTTTACGAGCAGGGGGAAAAAAAGCAGCATGTTGTTGGCTTAACTTGTCTTTGTCAGATATATTTAATGCTGTTGATGTTGAGTGTTGCTTTTTTATTTTTTATTTTTTCATTTTTGTTTATCTTACTCTTTGAATTAGGTGAGGGGAGGTCTACGTTCCCGACTGATTGGATGGTGGTATTGATCAACGTTCATGCTCAAATACAGAAGATTTTTTTTATGTTTAGAGGTATTTAAAAACATAGTTTATCATCAATCAAATGTGAATGAGTTTAAGATTAGATCTACCTAGGAAATAAGAATTTAACTAAGCGAGATAAGAAGGTTACGTGGACAAGTATTACACTTCCATTTGCTTTCTAATGCATCTATCAATCTAATTGTTTTATGATTCTGCAGAAACTATGCTGTTAATGGTTATTTGGCATAAGAATTTTCAGTAATGATGATGACCTTGGCAAGAAGCTCTAGCTGTCTTACATGTAAGCTGCTTTATTACTTTATCACTGCAACTTTTGTTCCTTTGAAGTACGTTGTCATTTCAACCAAAGATATAGTACTAATCAATAGCCCTACTTGCTCTGTGTTTGTAAGTGACTATTAGTAATTATTATTTCTGTGCGCCTTTGCAGAACATTCATTTGTGATGACGCATTAGATCAGATATTTCATGTGTTACATGAAGTGAAGCTTTTACAATGGGAGGAAAATTTACAATTTGCTGCAGGTTATTATTGTGACAAAATTATTCCAAAGAAAATGAGTTGGAGATGTGCATGCAGGTAAAATAGCGCAACGGACTAGCGTGTTTCACTCAAGAGATAGATAAAATAGATGGAAGGTTGTAGTTTGTATTAGCTTAAAGCTTTCGAAAATGCGTTAATGGCTTTAGGCCATTACTTTCAAATGTCAAAATACAAATTATTTCTGGACAAACTTCTCTACTCTAGACCACTTCTATTTATACTAATACTACCTTACAAGGGTTGGCCAACACAGCCTTAATTGCTACTAGTACTACTCTTGTCTTCTTCTAACTTTACCACAGTAACAAACAATAGCCAAGGTTGCTTGTCTGTTGCACTTTAACGGTCCTCTGCCTGACCTTGTAGTGGGCACGGCTTGTTGTTGTTGTTGGTCGGCTGCTGCTGCTGCTGCTTCTTCTGTCGCCTGCTGTAGGTTAAGATAGTGGGTGGTGGTGTTGGGTTCATTTGCAAATAGATGTAATTTTGTCAAGCTTGGCTGCAGCAACTGAAGATCTTTGTACTAAATAAATTTCTGATTTTAGCAGTGCCTCAAAGTCTCGAACTATAGATTCTCTTATAAGCTCAAATCCCTTGGGCTTATGTAAGTCCAATGAACATGTACGTTTAATTGAACTTGGTTTTCACTAGTACTTTATGTTGATTCTGGTTTTGTGGCTAGTGCTATAACATTCTAATATTCATCTCTGCATTGCAGGGTATAAACCGTATATATATAACCCTTGAAAATGGTGGTTCATGGGTGTCCCTACTTATATTGGAAGCTCATTGTTGACAGGGTAATGCATATTTCTACTCTGAGTTTGAAATAGAACTTCTGTACAGTAGTCATAGCATCTAGCCCTTAGGCTATTAGCTTAACTTGTCTTTGCCGGATAAGTTCTGTGTAGTTGATGTTGATTTTTTTTTTCTTTGCATGAATGAGTCACTTAGGTGAGGGGAGGTCTACATACCGAGTACCTGACTGATTAGATGGTGATATTGGTCGCAAATCACAATTCATACCTGACAAATTGGATGCATGTCTAGAGGTATTTAAATACATAGTTCATCATCAATCAAATTTGACTGAGTTTTAAGATTAAACCTACCTTGGAATTTAACCAATAGAACTAAGAATATTACATGGATAATGTTGGTCAAGCATTTCATTTACATTTGCTCTCTGATGTATCTATCAATCTAGTTATTTTATGGTTCTGTAGAAACTCTGTTGGTAATGGTTATTTGACTTGAATTTTGAGCAATACCGTGAAGCGGTGGTGATTGTGAGCTGCAAATTGATGATAAATTTTTGTGATGACCTTAATTGGCAATAGGCTCTAGCTTTCTTACATGTAAGCTGCTATATCAAATAGTTTGGATTATTAGATAATAAACCTTAGTTGGGATTATTAAAAGTAAATCGCATATAATAAATTTGTCATTGCAACCAAAGATTATTAAAAATAAATGAGGGTGGATATTGACTTGAAAATTATCTGTATTCTTGATTTCTTGTTTTTCAGAGAAACTCCTAGCTAACTAGTGTTGAATGTTGCTCAATTTTTATCAACAATCCATAGCTCTAAAATTTAAGCCTGAAAGTATTTCTATTATCTCAAACACATATAAATGAAAGATTTTAAAGAGTTTGCTTGATCAATTGAATTTGACGTTAGAACCTTACAGATTATATGCATCACACTAATCTATTATTATCTGTTTTCTTTGTAAGAGACTATTAGTAATTTTATTTTTATTTTTGTGAGCCCTTGCAGAAACATATTTTTGCAATGATGCAGGAGAGAATTTACATGTTATATGAACTGATAAAATTATTCCAAAGAAAATGGGTTGGAGATGTGCTCTGCAGGTAAAACAATTGTGATTGCTGCAGCAACTGAATATCTTTTTACTAGTATATTTCTGATACTGCAGTGCCTCAGACCTGAGATGCCTCTTATAAGCTCAAAACCCTTGGCCTTAAGTCCAATGAACATGTATGTTCACTTCAATTTGGTTTTCATTAGTTCCTTACGTTGATTCTGATTTTATGGCTTATCCTGCTATATTCTAATATTCATCTATGCATTACAGGGTATAACCATTGAAAATGCTGGTTTGTGGATGTCTCTACATATATTGCCAATATTGGACGCCGTGAAGCTTGAATTTCCTTATTGGTTTCTCTTACGCTCTTACCATGCGTCCATGTGATGACTACTGCCGTACAAAAGATATAGAAATACCAAGTTACAAGCAAAATGCCGTCCAATAAGGTTGGGAATTGGGATTGGTAGATGCTGCACAAAAGATATTCCTAGAGTCCTAAATATACAAGCAGAATACCTCCTAATTAGGTTATCAAAGGTAAATGCACCACCAAAGCTAGTCATAGCTATAGAAATACCAAATTTACACACTGCATATCCGCTATTAAACATCAACATGACCCCAAAACCTTTATAATACACAAATCTAAGGTAATAGACATGATTAAGTCCCTGACAAGGAAGCTCCAAGCTCTGCATCATAAGTTGTATGCCTTGCAGCCTTGGCACGACACTGACATTGTCGTTTATGTGCAACAACATTCAGGGGATTGAGAAGACCAGTCTCTCTCAAAAAAGGTAACGAGGGAGCTCAAACTGAACATGATTGTAAATACTTGACAAGCATCAACACAAAACTATTGAACCGATTATTTGCTGGTCTCCAATAACTCAAAATCAATAGTAGTTAGATGCATATTGACAAGCATTTATTACAGTTATGTTGACCTTAAGTTTTGATGATGACTTAAGGAACCTAAGCAAACCCATATAAGTTTAACTTTCGTTTTTAGCTTTGATTAGTAACAGGTTTATGCTATGAAATTCTGAGTAAGAATGGAGTATGGAACAAGGTCTAAGTCAGCTATGGAAGGATAAAGAAGCCAATCACAAGTCGTGTTCCTTTAATGAGGAACAAGCTCCAGAGTTGAATCTTCAAAGGCGAGTTCCTTGCATGAGGAACTGAAGCTTCGAGCTCAGAGTTTCAAGGAGTCTAATGTATTTTTATCTTTATTTTAGGCTTCTTGTATTTATGCTAAGTACAATGATAATTTAGGATTTAAGTGGATTTAATTTTATATGATATAGATTTAATTTTCCATATTTTAAGTGGATTTAATTTTATATGATATAGATTTAAGTGGATTTAATTTTATATGATATAGATTTAATTTTCCATATTTTAACTTGTTAATTTTCGAAAATATCTTTTTAAGTTAAAATATCTTTTTTGAAAAGATTTTCTGTTTTGTTCGTGCCTATCTTTTTGGAAAATCGGTTTTTGGAGAATCTTTATATCAACATATGTTTACTTTGTCAAAAGTGTTTTGAGAAAATTAAGGTGTAGACATCTACTTTTGGCCTCCTGTCTCGACAGGAAGTGCAATGACGATAACTAAAGCCATCTTCATGTTGGATCGAAGTTAAGAATACTTATGGATAACTGGATAAGCCACAAAACACAAAAAACTAGCCCAAATTAAAGAAAAAGCCAAAACAAAGGTCCAATTAACTATAGATGTTTTATAAAGAGTGATACTCTTAAAACATTCGGAAAACCATTTATCATAAGATGAACCATTCAGGTTTTGGAGTAATTTAAAATTTCATGCAATTTTTTATCACTCCGTTTGCTATTTAATTGTGGTTTAGAATTAAATAATGAGTCCATTCGATTCTTGGAATATTCAAAATATAGGGTATCAAGACCAGTCTTGGTAAGGAAACACCTATTAAGTGAACATTGAATATTATAATCGAAAATTATCCCTAATCGAGGTCATTTAAACGATGGACGATTAATGACCATTTGAGATTAGTGTGTAGTTTGATTTATAGCACCGTTTCTTGTGCTACAAGGACATGATTGTCATGAATCATTTGCACATGTATTGGTTTAGAACCATACTGGATTGACCTATAAGAATACTTTAAGAGATAAAAATCGTCATAAGTATATATACTTCTCATTATTGCTATCGGAACCTTTTTCCCCGACCATGAGTATTGTGAGCTTTCTTGTTGAGTACTAGTCTGCTTTGATGATTGTCAAACGTCTGCCGTAATAGGGGATTATAACGGCATCACTCGGGCGGCTATGTCCTCTTAGTAAGAGAAGCTACATTACAAGACTGGAAATGTCCCCCTACTAAAATAGGGAAGATGTTTTTGTTATTTACAAGGCCTCTCGTAGAACGAGACTGTAAAAATGCATGGCCGTGCTTGGATGGATTTTTGAAATAATTTGTTTATTGATAGTCGGACTCGGAATCGAGAAATAGTTCTGGATGTAATAAGGATGACAAATAAATCTTACCTTGTAGTTCATGAAGAGGCATTAAGCGACATAGGAAAAGGGCTCTACACTAAAAGCATACTTGTTCGGAAGGACAAGAGGGAGATTGAAAGGAATGGTTTCCTTCGAACAAGTGTATTATTCTGATAGTGGGTTCAGAATTATTAGAAAGCTAATATATTCAGTAAGGTCAAGTGATCGGAATGCCTGGGTGGAGGCCGCTTCCGATCAGGAATATTAATGCATAATTAATATTCCAGCTTAATCTTGACTGAACCCTTTGGGTCACACCCAAGCAACTAATGATCCAAAGCGACGAATTAATACGGAAGTAATTAATGAGTCGACCGAGTAATTTATATTTAGACGTTGGAAATTCGAGCTTGGAGCTTCGAAACCGAGCGTCGTAGAATCTTAAATGTCAAGCAAAAATTCAGGAATTGGCGAGACGGGAAAATGCTTCAAGTAACAAGCAAAAACCCTAGTCATGCAAAAATAAGGGAAGCGCGCCAAATAGGAGCGTGCCACGTGGCAGCAGCCACGCAGCATGCCACGTTGGAAGCGTGCCATGGTGGCAGCGCATGTGGCAAGGGGGTCATGGACCCGGGTGACGGGTCATGGACACGGGCCAAAAGAAAGTGTTTTGGGTGTTTTTGTCCCTTGGGAGAGTTACGTCACGAAATCTGATTCCGGCTGAGCTGCACCTACAAAATAACGGAGACTCCGGGTGGTTGGAGCTCTCCCTCCGACGGTCAAGTTAGTAACTTGAAACAGAGTAAAAAGAACGGAAATTTAGGCGGGTATCTGCTTGGATTCCAAGCTCAGGTCTTTCTCTGATGTAAGAGAATAAGGGTGTAATCAATGATTCAATCTGTCCCCAATATGGGGAAATATCTCCCTATTTATAGGGTCGTTGGGAAAAGTGCCCCTACCTAGGTCACTTGACCTAGATTTTAGTGGGTTGCGCCGTTTTACGGCGCTCCTAGGAATCTGGGCCTTTGAAGGCCGTCATTCTCGGAAACGTATCTGAGGGCGCCAAGTGTCAAGAGGATGCTGAGCCACATGGGCCATCCTAAGCTCGACACGTGGCGACCTCTCATTGGTCCACGTGTCAAGAGGATGTTGGGCCACATGGGCCATCCTGAACTCGACACGTGGAGAGCCCTCATTGGCCCACGTGTCTAGGGTAAAAATCCCCCAAACATTTGCCCCTCACAGGTCGCACGCGCATGTCACGTGTGGCCTGTGACACGTGTCCGCCTTTCATAGGTGAACAGTAACGGGGTAAAATTTTGAATTTCAAATCAAAATTTTTCCCCCGCTTTTCTTTCTATAAATAGAAAGTTACCCCCCTCCTTTTCACACTTTACTTTCACATTGACTTTTTAGAGAGAGAAAAAGAGAGATTCTAGAGAGATTTTCCTCTGCTCCCGCCTGCATAATCAGCGAGTTTCAAGCTTCCGAGTGCTAACAGTTCATCACCCGGTTCACCGGCTGTAGCGGTTTCAGATTTTTCAGAGTCAAAGCAAGGTAACCACCTGTACCATTTTAGCTTTTCTCCCTTTCGATTTACATACCGTTTTTTCAGCCTGTATGCCCGGCTTTCTTTAGAAAATAAAAAATAAAAATAAAAAATACAAATGAGTTCCCTATCCCCCCACTCGGCACTGCCTAGGACACTCATTCGATCCCCCGGAACGGCTGAGTCTAGAACAGGGGGTGCCTCTTCTGGACTGTCGGATACAATATGCTCATCTCCGAATTCCTCCCTCTCTGTGTCTGTGCAGGACACAATGGCCAGAACGAAACAAACGGCCAGGCGGTCTAAAAGCCGGCGCACCATGAGAGTGCCTGCCGATGAGGTTTTTCCGGATGGGGATCCGAGGGATTTGGAGGAGATTGGATCCGACGAAGAGGCTCCCTCTACATCCGGGAGCTCAGGAGTTAGAGAGGTGGACGGCGAGAGAGCCGCCTCCTCCAATGAAGCCGACGATGCTGAGGCCGGCCGGGGATCAAGAGCAGAGTCTTCTGGCTCTGACCAAGGGGATTTTGCGGCTGACTATCAGCAGCCGCCAAAAGTAGCTGACAACCCCAACCCGAAGAAAACCCGGATGACTCCGAGCAACATCGCCTTTCTCAACAGCGGGTTCAGGGCCTTTAAGGAGAAGCATCCCTTTGGAAGAGGATGGGAAGTTATTGTCCCTCCGACTGATGCTGTAATGGCCTGGGGGGATGACATTGATCATGCAGATGACTACTTCATCTGCTATGAGGCGGTAATAGAAGCCGGCCTCCGGTTCCCCCTCCACCCCGGGATTAGGAAAATCCTAAAGGGATACGATTTGGGGGTTTGGCAGCTCACCCCAAATTTGTGGGTGAACATTTTGAGTTACATCGCCGCCTGCGAGTTCCAAAATTTGAATCCAAGCTTCTCTGCCTTTGCTCACATGCATTATTTGAGCAAGGCTCCAGGCGGCCATGGGGCATGGTATACTTTGACTACCTTGCCCAATACTTGATGACTTTGGACAAAGTGTCCAAATGGTCCGGGTGGAAGGACAAGTTTTATCTGATTTCCTCCCCCACCCTAAGGCACAACCGGACATTGCGTCGGTACAACACTGAGCCGACTCTTCTTGGACGTAAATTCCCTCTCCCGGAACTATCTACTAAAGCCCGGGAGCAAATCATGGAGCCGGGATTTTTTGAAACGACAACTGAGCCCATGGGGGATGGGACTCACATAATTGTTCCTAAGAACTGGATTCCCCATCCGGACTTTTTCAAGGACGAATGTTTCTTGTCCGCTTGCGGACTGAGCACAATGTTTCCCAGGGGTAGAATACTTCTCACCCGGAACAATCGTTATTTTTTCTTTTTATTGCAAACTTGTCTTGATTCTTTCTAACCTGAAATTCTTGAATTTGCAGAGGAAGCCCTGAAGATGGTTGACCAGGACAAGACTCCTGCTAAATCGGCTGCGCAATTGCGCAAGGAGGCGGCTCTTGCCAAAAAGGCAGCCGTCGAGGCAAAGGACAACAAGAAAGGCGGGGTAAGACCGCCTGACTTAATGTTTGCATTTTTTTTTTTTACCCGGTTGGGTATACTCATATTTGCTTCTTTCTCAGGAGTCCGCCAAGAGAATTCCTCGATCATTCTCCAAGCTTCTTAAAAGGCAAGGAGATGGTCTGGAAAAGGCTCTGGCTGCCAAAGCCACAAGAAAGGACCCCCCCCCCCCCAAAAAAAACAAGGCTCTGCCCAATCCGGTCGTCCAACGTCTAGGGGCAAATCCCCTACTGTTCAGAAAAAGCTCAGTGAAAGCTCAGAACAGCAGAAGACGCCGGATGCCTCAACGGCATCAAAGGGTGGCATGCCACTTGAGGTTGCAGACGGTGCGGCAACCACTGGGGAGGAGAACAAGCCAGAGACCCATCCGGAAACTCAAGGTAAGGAAGGAACTGAAATACCTTCGCCACTTGATTTCATGAGAATCAAGACCAAGGTGGATTCTTCAAAAGGATCCATCAGCAGCCGTCAGCGGATGAATGCCAGCTACGCTGCTTCTATCTCACATAACACTACCTTTGATGCTGGTCCGACTTCTGACCAGCCGGACCTTCCAGGCTTCGCAAGACGGATGGTGAGGACCCTCACCCGGTCCGAGAAGGCATCCATACCTGATCTGCAGGTTGTGGACTTTGACCGGATAATGGGCTCTCTGGCTGAGGTACATGATTTTTCTATCCTGATATCTTTCATCTTTAATTTGACTAAATAACTCTTTAACCGACTGCTATTGATTCAGGCT